CAAGCAGAGTAAGCTGTATTTTCTAATTGGCTGACTTGATAACATCCATCTCTAACACTACAGACAAAATCACCGCCGCAATGGCGCAGTAGTGAACAAGTTCACGGAGTGGATTTAATATAGGCATGCAGCAATATTTCTTCACTGTTGATAATTTATGACAATGAAGCGAAATTTATTATCCGAACATGCTTAAGAGTTTGAACCACACAACTTCACCACTCAACCACTTCGTTTCGGTCTTCTCCTTAATTTGTGTAGATCCCCCCGGTATTCAAGAGTTCATTGACTGAAAACAGAGTACTTTCGAGACGTACAAGGTTCCATTCAATGGCTGAGCAAATAAGAAATGCGTGGCGTATACATACCACTCTGTAAATGAACGTAAATGAATTATGAAATAAAACGCGTAACTATTACCAAAGTGGATTTATTGTTGTTGATCAAAAAGCTATCTGAGTACGTCACGGTTGGACATTGCAGCGTTGAGTGCCTTGTACAAACAGCGCGGAGGCTGACAATGGAATACCAACAGAGCTAATATCAACCAGAAGTACTACTCTCGTCGAATGGAGTCGCATGCCTTTTGGCCTAAAGAATGCTCCGCAGATTTATCAACGCCTCGTATACAACGCGCTGTATGGAGTTTTGAAGATCTCGCGATCTAGCGATGCCGGGGCTACAACGGATGTGTTCCAGACAGGGATCGCGGACGATCCTGACCGCGAGTCAGTATGGAGATCATACATCGACGATATCATGATCGCAGCGGAATCGTGGGATCAAATGTACCGAAGAGTGGAAGATCTGTTAGAAGCTTGTGATAAGTGGAATTTGTCGATCTGTGTAGCCAAGCGTTTCTGGGGCATGGATAATGTAGGTTATCTGGGACACCGAGTGTCGATCGGAGGTTTGGAGGCGAACCCAAAAGATCTGAAATCCCTAACCGATTTACCGTTCGCCGGATCACTTCGATCTATGCAGTCGTTCCTGGGTAGTTTGAATTACTACAGCCGATTCATCAAAGATTACGCTATCTTTGCCTCGGTGCTCAACGAATTACGCGAGGTGGAGTTCGCAGAACTGGAGAAACGATCGTATCTGAGGGAGACCATGGACCGGAATGACCCGATTCTTCGAGATCACGACCCACCGGAACCGCAGTTGACGGGATCAGAGAACGAGAGGTGGATCAGGGCACATAAGGCCTTCACCACCCTGAAAACCAAGATCGTCACCACCCCAATCCTCCGTCACTTCGACGAGATGAGAACACCGGTAATCATTGTAAATGCCAGCGATTGGGCGATACCCGCTTCGTTGACACAAGAACACGACGGGATCTTCCATCCGGTTGCGTTCGCCAGCCGCACTTTGAAGACGAATGAGTTGAATTACAATGTGACCGAAAAGGAGATGTTGGCACTGCTGAAGGTCTTGGATCTGTACTACAATCTGCTAGTAGGACGCGAGATCCGGGTCCTAACGAGGCATTCTACGTTGGCCTGGCTGTTCAATTCGACTGGATTGTAGGGTCGCCTGGGACAATGGTCTGCCCTCCTGGCCCCATGGACACTCGAGATCACGAAGTGCACGAAGGGTGAGGACGAGATACTGGGGACGATCGATGCTACCATTACGCTGAGGGTGAACATCAACGACGCTCTGACCGAAATCGCTCCCCGGAAAGAACCTAAACGCCGAATCCAAGCGCCGATACCCACCGTAGATCGAGACGAGGAACTATGGGTGATCAACTTTGACGGATCCGCTCGAGTTAAGTGTAGTGGGGGCGCGTTCAGCACGATCGTGTGTTTCTGCCCGGATGGGAGGTGGTCAAGGCCATATCGGGGTATCTCGGGAGCCCCACCGTGAACGAAGCAGAATATAACGGCCTGATCCTGGGACTCGACATGCTAGAGAACCTATATCGCAGACGCCTGGTGCTGTGCGGTGATTCCAACCTGGTGATCCGACAAGTACGGGGTGAGATCAACTGCAAAGCACCCGGACTGACGCTATTGAAGCGGAAGGCCCTCCATCGCCTGAGGAAGTGGAGTGATCATTAGTTGGTGCATGCCAAGAGGGACTGGAACGGAAGTGCGACAGTCTAGCGAGCGCCGCTTTGCAACGACAAGGCGGATCGAGGTCCAGGAGATGCCCGGGTACCAGGATCTGGTCACCTGAACCGGTTAGACGAAATCTAGATCCCCAAGACCAAGAATCCTGTGATGCGAATTGCTGCGGTTACCACTCGAGCTGGCTCAGCAAGATCACCTGCGGGTGTCATGCAAGAGGATCTGATCCGGGAGATCCGGGTCGATCGGATCAAACAAGCCCAAGAGCAAGAAGTCTGGATCGCCGGCATGAATAAGTATCTGAGCAGCCACAAGCGGAAGCAAGATCGTATGGCAAGATCGCGGCCGACTACGAGGTAGACGAACAGGATCTACTCTTTTACTGCCCTCCCACGCCGAGATCGGGAGACGATCGCGACCGATTGATGAGATTGGTAATTCCGAAACGCTGCAATCGAACGTCTTACACCACTATCACACCACATTGGAAGGAGGACATCAGGAAGTGGGGCGAACCTACCAGTGGATCAGGAATCACTTCCACTGGAGGGGATTATACCGGAGTGTTCAGCGATATGTGGGAGAGTGTGTGGATTGCGAAACAGGAAAAGGAAAACCTGTGGTCAGGGGCGAATCACCTGGGAACTTGCAGGCGACGTACCCGTTCCAGATTATTGCGATGAATCACATACCGTCGCTACCCAGATCCCACAAGGGAAACACGGATTTATTGATCTGGGTCGATCTGTTCACGGGATATGTGAGCGCGAAAGCAAGCCCGTCCCGACCAGCCCAGACGGTGGCGGAATCGTACAAAGAGTGCGTATTCCGGCAATTCGGTGCCAGTGAGATGATCCGGCATGATCGGGAACCCGGCTTCATATCCGATTTCTTCCGGGCGTTTAATAAGATCCTGGGACACCGGCAGCGCGCTACGATGGCATATCGACCACAGGCTAACGGGACTGCTCAGAGAATTGTGCAGACCGCGGCTAGGGCCCTCAAGATGTACGTCCGCGACCTCGGTCAGAAGGATTGGGACGAATACGCTGAGCGCCTTACCTTCGCGATCAACACGGCTCACGATCGGATCCGGGGAGATACCCCTCACTATTTGGTGCATGCGTGGGATCCGAGATCGTCACTGGAGCCTACACTGCCAGTCGGATGTACAAGACGGCATGATCGAGACGCGCGGCAATGGCGATATTGAGTCCAGCTATACTATCAACAATCCCGGGAACAAGTCAATGGCAGATTGAAGGAGGCCATCGCAGATCAAGCTGACTGACACAACGAGGACGTCGGATCACACCAGATCGAGGCCGGATCCCGCATCTGGTTATACCTAGATCGGGTGAAGGAAGGATACGCGCGAAAATTGGCTCACCTCTGGCACGGGCCGTTCCGAGTCGCCGAAAAGATCAACGAATTCAGCGTCCAGCTCGAGGTCGCAGGCACCGGGTACCAGACCTTCCCACTAGTACACGTGTCGAAGTTGAAATTGGTCAAGGATTTCCCAGATCGACCGCGAGTGGAACTTTCGGTGAACGAGGCGGATCGTCTCGATTTCGACGAGATCCTGCTTCCTGAGGACAGTTGGGTTCAGGATCTTGGGGCCGATGAGTACGAGGTCGAGCGGATTTCTGATGTACGGAGTGGGAAGAAGACGCGCTTTGGTCGGATCAATCGAGAATTACTGATTCATTGGGCAGGATATGATAAGCCCACCTGGGTCGACGAAGCCGATCTCAACTGCGGGACAATATTGAACGCCTTCCTACGAGAGCGGGCCAATCGGAACCGTTTCACTGTGATGCAATCACATGAGGAGATGTAAGGAGGACGGGGTGAGGTTACCTGATCGTCTCGCCTCCGAGGGAATACCGGTCAGATAAGATCGAGATCAGGAGTTCATGTTGTATATATGCATATGGAAGTCGTCGCAAGAGATCACGGAAGACATGAGAAGTTGGAAGAGGGATCACTTAGGAATGGTAACGAAAAGAACAAACGAGCAGAAGATGTGGCTGAATGAGGAAATTACGAGATCGACAACGAAGAAACGCGATCATTGGTAGGCTTCACCGGCGAGCAGAGACTCCTCTGTGGCGGATCGCCGTATCGTATGCCGCCCTGGAGGAGGATCACATGATTGCGTATTGGGAATCGACCCATTATTTCGAGATCACTTCGGCGATGACCGACGCGGACTCAGATCTCTTCACCTATCACCAAGGTCAACGTCAGCGACGGATCCGGGCTGGAGAAAGTTGGCGGAAATTGTTGGGGGAAGTCGTTCTAGTGATGAGAGCACAGTGGGCCGATATCGACTTCCTGCTGGATCCCTATTTCCTCCACCTTCCGACAAAACAGGATCGGGTGCGTTGGTATCCCGGATCGGTCTCCCGGGCGGCCAATCTCACGCAGCCGACAGCGAATCTCCCCGAGCCGACCGACCTGATCACGGTTCTGTTTGAATGTGATCAAGCGGATCCCTGGAGGAATCACTACCGTGATCCCGGTTCCGCTCATCCGTCGCTGAGCATACCTTGCCTCGTGAACAAGTTCAATCCTCCGGCGGCCCCCTAATCGCCGATCTAGTTCCCACTCTTCGCCAAACTCCGTGATCTCAAACTTGTTGTGATCGAACGTTAATGAAGTGGTACGACGCTGGCCAAGCATGCGCCATGGCTCGGTAGCCATAAGGGCCAGAACATTGGCACCGGGGATCAACTCCGAGCGATAACCGGTCACGGGTATGGGAGCCCGGATCAGAGGGTTTCGGAAGGGGAACAAGAAATTGGGCGGGATCTGCATCCGTTTCGTCAAAGTAGCCTTGATCATGACTATGATCAGTACAGTTCCCACGGTAGCCGGGTCCCACGGGTGGATCTCGGCCGCCGTGAAGCGCTTGAGTGCGGAACAATGAGGAATACTCGCTTCGGCGGGGAATAGCGGTGGATATAGTTGGATGGGTGAGCCACCCCCAGGAGAACCACCACCAGGGCTTCCGCCAGGAGACCTGGGAGGTGAGGGAGGAGGTTTCGCGGGACTGTGACCCGGAGAAGGTGAGGGAGGAGGTGTCGTAGGAATGTGATCTGGAGGAGGGGAGTTGTGATCCCCCGGGCTGCCCCCTCCCCCGCTTGGGATCTCAGGTTTATCTTCAAGCTCCTGCTCTTCCTGACCCTCGATCTCTGGCTGATCTTGGTGCTCCTGGTCTTCCGCGCCCTCGATCTTGGAGTGATCTTCGAGTTCCTGGTCTTCCGGACCCTCGGTCTCGGCTGGTCCTGGTTAGGTGGCGGAGAAATCGGTCGATCACTGCGAGGCGTCTTGAGAGGCGGTAATTGAGGAGGAGAACTGGGCGGACTTCGCTCACGTTTCGGCATCCGCTCCACCTGACTCTCTCTGATCCTGCTGGCGAGGTGTGTGAGGAGCACATCTGCCTCATTTAGATCCCTCTCAGCCAGACCGCGCAACTCGGCAAGTTGGTCGTGGGCGACCTGGAGATCCGCCATCTGGCCCTCCCTCTCCTGAAGTTCCTGGCGAACCACCTCGAGATCGTCGTCTAACTCGGCCGTACGGGCGGTCTCGATGAAAAGATCCAAGCGAACCTGATCACGTTCGGCAATCGCCTGATCACGGAGGCTAAGGGCCGAATCACGATCGACAAGGGCCCGATCCCGATCCTCGGTGGTCTGGGCAAGTTGCTTGAAGGCTCGATCGCGATCGGAGGTGATCTGCGTCAGAGTTGCCCGGGCGAGCGCCAGATCTGCCAACGCGCGATCGCAGTGCTCCTGGGCTAGACGAGTGGTGCTGTCAAGGGACGAATCCTCTCCGTGATCCGGTTGCGTGCGGGTGAGGCTGGAGGAGATCCGGTTGTACCTGGCGAGAGCAGTGGCGGATTCAAACCTCGCATCGTCAGTCTCATGCTCCAGACCGCGGACCTGCTCCTGCAAGTCCCTGATCTCGTCCCCGCCTTGAATGGCCTCCAGGCGCAGACGATCACGATCGGTCTCGGCGTTGTGAAGATTTTCACGGGCGGAAATAGTTTGACGCTCGAAGTCGTTCCGCTCGGCGCGCAGTTGAAGGACCTAGGTATGGAGATTCTCTGGACCGTCACCAATGTCGTGGGTGAGAGTCGAGATCTCGGTCTCAAGTCGAGTGATCTCATCTCGCTGGCCGTCCTGGAACGCTTCCATGTCTCTGATGTTGGATCGCAGCTGGTGGACTTGTAGATCGAGGTGCTTCCGGTCTCGGACGAGGCGATCTTGCGCAAGATTGCTCTGGCGAAGATCACTCTCCAACGTAGCCAATCGCCGATCCCGATCAGAGGTGTGGAAATGTGAGCAACGCGAGATCGTAGAGCGCCGCGACTGGTGGCTCGCGGTGGACTGCGGCGAGTCAGGAGGGGTCGGAACAGGGGGACTCCCGGGGTCGCTACCGGTCTGGCTCATGGAGATCGCTGGTGGTGGAGTGAAGAGGAGTATTCCCAAGCTGGAAGATTGTGGAATGAGACCTGAAGTGAACTCTGACGGTCCGACTTTCAGGATGAGGGCGGATGTGGTAAAGTGTGATCGAAATCTCACGAAAAGAGCAACCTCGGCTGCCAGATCGCGAGAAAGAGACGGACCAGGCGACAAAAATACCACTCTAGACCAAGATATCAAGACGATTCCTCAAGATCTGACGCGCGACAACATCCGTGAGTGATGGGGGCTATGGATGGCCCAAGATCGACTGCAGAAGACCCAAGATCAACCCGACAGAATGATGGATGGAGACCCACCCATATTATATCGTGAGAAGGCCGGATCAAGGAAATTCATGGGGCGAAGTCGCTATCAATCGACGATCCTGAACAACAGCGGACCGACGGACCACGATCGAAGGAGAACAGCTATGCTCGGAGCCCCATCAATCATTGATCAAGACATGCATGGGATGCGTAACCCCAGATCAAGACAAGACGGCGATCCGGAGCCCGGGGAAGGAGGTGGGATAGGATCGCCGGGAGGCAGTCGGCATACGCCCCAAGGCGAGCGGCAGCTATGGAGATCACCGCACGACAGCCGCGGGCGATGGTCCAAGGGTCAGGGGTGACGTTCCTGATTGAGATCATAGATCGTGGTCACAGATCGAG